ATAGCTCTGTAATTATTTCATACTGAACACGATATGGTTTATTTAGGACTTTGTCAGCTTTTGAAGGTTGGAACTTAAATGCTCATCAGTAGTAATACACGCAGAAATCATTTCTCATTTGATCAATTCGTTTATAAAATTTCATGACAGATCACGACATTTCAGTGTGATAACGCTATAAAAAGTCATAACGTCTTCATTCAACCACAGCGGTTTCAAGGTCGTCAAATCCAAACGTACCTACCGATTAAACCAACTATTTACATCAGAATTTTGAAATTGATAATGACTGCGTGATAATGGCGCACCTACCATCCACTTGATCGCCCCCTAACAATCTTTTTTCTGCAGTCTGGTTGATTAAGACTTACCCTGTCTACCGCCACTATGGACCACTCGGGATTCTGTATATTATTGTCCGCTTAGAGGCCGAAAAGCGGTAACATTGGACGTAAAGGTCGTTAAATAAATTAAATGAATAAACGATATATTTAACTTGGAATGCATAAACGCTGATATAACGTGTTATCAACCGCGGGCTAACTGAGAGTAAATATATCATGACATCAGCATGGGTACGAATTGCCGCTAATTTCCACTTAAATAATACTGTTCTGAGCGGGCTGATTTTCTCTCAATAAATTTATAAAACGTACCCATTGTTCTCAGTTTTTGAAAGGTGCAGCAGACATAAGCTTTTATCACCACGTATAACAATGTCACATCCTACCCTAATATCATCCCGGTTGATTAATATTTCGATTGACCTCACTGTAGGTCAATAACAGAATATTTCCATTGATTAACAACACTCTTGGTAAATTGATAATAATTTTTTTTGTGGTTGTCGTATTTCAAGTTCATTAGGTGCTGTTTGTGACATGGAATTCAAAATCCTTTAAGATAACACACAAGAAAGAAAATTGCACACCAAACTTTAAACAAAAGGAATATCCTTATCAATATAAATAAGAAAATTACTACTGTTGCATTTATTTCAGACACGATAGATCTCCTATTCTCCTAACCATATGGCACCACCGGATATAGAATGAACACTCATAACTTACAGTATTAAATTTTTGTATCTATCTAGTCTGCGATCTGCCAATTTGGATTTTAATACTAATTACACACATATGATTTCATCTTCAGATCATGTGATATTAACATTGAATATATAACTACAGGTACTATAGTACCAAATCAAAAATTGTCTGTGTCTCCAACATGGAGCACCGACGATAAAACACGTTCTTATACAATGCATTTTCTATTTATTGTTTTGTAAGGGCATTCACAGAAATTCATCGGCCAATCAATTCGTAATCTATATCACGTGATCATTCTATGGGACCATCGGGAAATACAGACTGCTGACAACTTGTCCGGAAAAGGTTAAGGAGTTTCCTCAGCACGATGTCCCGTGATTTAGCGTCATTAGGACGTCCCTCGTGGGACAGATTTTTTTTGGATGTTCTGCTGAGTTTTATGCGTATGACATCGTAACAAGAACAGTACGATGTAAAATAGAGGTCTAGCTGTCTCCCTCCCCGGATAATGTTTTATTTTATTGCTTTTTCAAATCGAAATTCGCCGATAACATGTCTGTGCTAGCAAATGTATGTATAGTGACGAAGGCACCGGAGCGCGTGTCCAATGCGCGTTATGGCAATACGTTACAAGGGTGGGGCCAGACAATACAATAGTGCCTTCAACGTCCGCGTCTTGATCATTATTTAAAATTCGAATTTCTCAGTGCAAGTGAGTTCCGCATTTGAAACTACATGTAATGTGAAATAATTTCCCAAGACGATACCGTTCGGGGAGTGGAAATGTCTGAATTACCAACTTATTTCTCTTTTCAAAAGAAACATCGATTTTGATGTACTCTGTAATTGAACGGAAGAAAATAGACTACTTAAATATTCCCAATAATCGGACCGAGATACGCACCGAAATGGCGACGGTCAGATACGTCGCGTGTCGACATCATTCTCCATTTCGCTCGTCTATTTAAATATGATATTCCATTTTCATTTTCATACCAGGTAATCATTCATCGTCATCATTTCGTAGAAAGTTATTGGAAAATCGTCATCTTTAAAATTGGGTTTCTTGTTAAAAAATGAGTTAAGAAATACAGACAAACGCAACTATCATTTTAACGAGCGTTACCATTTTTAAAATTGAAATTCTATTTGAAAATGACAGAACACAATATGGAAAATCGTTCAGTTCAGGACTGCTTGCTATGATGTATTTTGTCCTAGTCACGAACCGAATCATTATTTCCTGTATTTGGCCTTGGAACCATCGCCTGTTGAAAGCAATGACATCCTGGAGTGAAGCGTGACGTTTGTATCGAACACAAGTGATACAAGTAAACAGCTTCGGCTCTCCGATAGCGTTCGTATTTTCCAGCACGAAAATTGAGTTTTAACTGAGTATAGTCGTCATTCGACGAAAATATCAAGAGAAATATTGAACGGTGTTACAAACACAATCAGTCTAGAAGAAAGGCAACTTTCAAGTAATACCTTCCTTAAAAGTTGGGGTTACAACACTGAAATACTGTTACGTTTCACTGATTGGGTGACCATGTCACGTTGTTAGTGAGGACGTACGACTTACCATACCCGACCGTGTCCCGTTGTTAGTGACGTCATACATACCAACCGTACCCGACCGTGTCCTGTTGTTAGTGACGACGTACATACTAACCATACCCGACCGTGTCCAGTTGTTAGTGACAACGTGTCCCGTTGTTAGTGACGACCCATACCCGACCGTGCCCGTTGTTAGTGACGACCCATACCCGACCGTGTCCAGTTGTTAGTGACGACGGACATACTAACCATACCCGACCGTGTCCCGTTGTTAGTGACGACCCATACCCGACCGTGTCCAGTTGTTAGTGACGACGTACATACTAACCACACCCGACCGTGTCCCGTTGTTAGTGACGACCCATACCCGACCGTGTCCAGTTGTTAGCGACAACGGACATACTAACCACACCCGACCGTGTCCCGTTGTGAGTGACAACGGACATACTAACCATACCCGACCGTGTCCTGTTGTTAGTGACGACGTACATACTTACCATACCCGACCGTGTCCAGTTGTTAGTGACGACGTACATACTAACCATACCCGACCGTGTCCCGTTGTTAGTGACGACCCATACCCGACCGTGCCCCGTTGTTAGTGACGACCCATACCCGACCGTGTCCTGTTGTTAGTGACGACGGACATACTAACCATACCCGACCGTGTCCCGTTGTTAGTGACGACGTACATACTAACCACACCCGACCGTGTCCAGTTGTTAGTGACAACGGACATACTAACCATACCCGACCGTGTCCTGTTGTTAGTGACGACGTACATACTTACCATACCCGACCGTGTCCCGTTGTTAGTGACGACGTACATACTAACCATACCCGACCGTGTCCCGTTGTTAGTGACGACCCATACCCGACCGTGCCCGTTGTTAGTGACGACCCATACCCGACCGTGTCCAGTTGTTAGTGACGACGGACATACTAACCATACCCGACCGTGTCCCGTTGTTAGTGACGACGTACATACTAACCACACCCGACCGTGTCCCGTTGTTAGTGACGACCCATACCCGACCGTGTCCAGTTGTTAGCGACAACGGACATACTAACCACACCCGACCGTGTCCCGTTGTGAGTGACAATGGACATACTAACCATATCCGACCGTGTATCGTTGTTAGTGAGGACGTACATACTTACCATACCCGACCGTGTCCAGTTGTTAGTGACGACATACGACTAACCATACCCGACCGTGTCCAGTTGTTAGTGACGACATACGACTAACTATACTGGAGACCTTATTGTTATGACGTAACTTTGCTTGCTGGTTGATTAATTTAGCTGAGAATCACGTAACGCACTCCTTATGGCTGATAGACACTCTCCGTCCATTACTCACTCAATATTTCGACAGCAGCGCCTGAAATGAATAGAAACGAGAAAATAAAAAAAAACTTGGAGAACAATGGAACCAAGTCGAAATGAAGAAAAACAGTAATGAAAAAGGTGATCGAATTTAAAGTTCGTAATGTTTCTCAAAGTTGTAAGATTTCTGTTAAGTGACAGCTTGTAGAACACATTAATTAGATTTTGATAAAAACTGAAACATGAAGAATCATTTTTGACTTGCGGAAATATTATGGTGTTGACACATCGTACAATGATAAATCTATAGCCTTTGGTCTGACAGCGTCACAAATTCTGCAGCATCAAAAAAAGGTTTAGATGTTAGAAAATATTGAACATCCACTTCTCACATACCTAATCGTGTTAAAAGACAACTACAACAAAACATGCTGCAAATCTAGGACACGACATAAGAAATCAATAGAAAATTTATCTGTTTTCTTAAATAACAAAAAAAATCAGCTTTATCCGCAGTATCAATATCCATTTTATAGCGATCCGAAATTTCAAGGAGGAAAAAGTAGATATAAGTTTTCAGGTAAATGAAAGTAAACAAAATAGAATAAATAAGCTACTTTAGACGTGTCTTTAACAGCACTGTATAAAATTTATTTCTATAACTGTAATAGTCTCTTGTTTAAGACATTGAGACAGTCACGAGGTAGATTTAGCATAACATGTTAAAATTTTTGAAATAAAACTAACTTAATTATTGATAATTTACATAATTAGTGACCTTTTAACGGCGTCGCGTGCTGTTTGAAATTCAACGATTCGTTCCGAAAAGGATTTGTTGATAAAAAAACATTCTTTGCTACGGCATTAAACGTTGATTTCGAAGCACAAATAAAAATTATTCGAAGCATTGGTCGTGGAGTTGTTCTTGGTGGGTTTGAAAATATCTTCTTTTTAACATTGGTTGAATTAAAATATAGAATCAGTTAATCATTTTGTAATACTTTCACTTATGTTTTGTTAATGGATAACAATATTTGAATCTGGTTTTTTTTCTATTTTCAGGGCAATTCTTCCAGAGGGCTATTCTTCAAAGCGGATCTGCATTCAGTTCTTGGGCGACCTCGGTTGATCCACTGTCTTGTGCAAAGTATTTCGCGACAAATCTTAATTGCTCAAATTTTTCAAATGACACAAAGAGCTTAGTGACATGTTTGAGGGCAAATAAATCTGCAGAAGATTTGGTGAATAACGTTCCTCTGCCTCCAAAATATTACTCATGTTTCGCCCCGACACCCGCTCCAGGCGAATTCATTTTCCCAAGCAAGGTTGAAGACTTATTGAAGCGGAGGTCGACGTTCTCTCAAGCGCAGGTCATGTTCGGTGTTACCAAAAATGAAGCATATTCCTTCATGAAACAACACGAACTCGACCACGGAATCAGCAAGGAGAGGAAAAAGCAGATCATCAGGACATATGTCCAGAATTTGTACAAGTTCCACAGACAGAAGATATATGAGATCCTTGACCATCAATACTCGGAGTGGGATCGAAGTCAGAACGACAGCACGCGACTTGACAATATCATGCAGATGCTAAGTGACGGCCAATACGTGGCGCCACTCATCAGAATGGCTCAAGAGCATGCAAAACGGTCTGATACTTATGTCTACGTCTTTGCTTATTCCACCAAGTCCGAGAAATTTCCTGAATGGTCAAGTGGCGTCCACGGCGATGAATTGCCCTATGTATTCGGTGCTCCTCTAGTCAACGGTATCTCGCCGTTCCCTTCGGAATACAGTCGGGCAGAAAAGAGACTAAGTGAAGCAGTGATGACCTTTTGGACAAATTTTGCAAAAACTGGGTAAGTTTTTTTCTATGACGATCTAAAAAAAACACAAACAAACTAGGTGAACTATTTCTGAATTGTACAAATACTGGAAAAGTCCCATCTTTCACACTGAATTACGTCAACCTTATCAAACAGACCGTATTGATATGATAAACAGCAACATGTGTCTATAGCCGGACCATTGTTGTTGGGAACAAGTGTTATAAATAAATTAAAAACAATAGATATATCATCTTAATCAAAATTGACACGTAAAAAGAAAGTCTGGAGCATCTTCAGGGTGTGTGAATGGAAGAGGGAGGAGGTTGAAATTCCTTCCTTATTTTTCAAATACTAGGAACACATGATAAGTTTTACATAAACGGGATAGTAAGATCGTTTACTCTGAAAATCGATTTCAATAAACATAAACATAATACATATATATATATATATAACCCATAACTCGGAAAGTTGAAGGGTGTTGAAGTTTGAAAAAGATGAAGAGGTTGTAAGTTTAGATGTGAGTCGTAGACTATTGTGATGATAATACTCTATACTGCACTAACTATATATCAGAATGTCGTGTGCTATTTCCTTAGGGAGTCCGGCCCATTTTCGCTTCCAGTTTTCGTCTATTACCGCACGTGTTTGGTTAGACGCAGGCGTGTAAACCACGTGATAGCACATGCGAATATCAGCAATGCTTTTTGTGGCACGGGATTTCCACGATTTCCTGTTGTATTTAAGACCAGGTTGCTCTGGTCGACCAGTGTTATCGCTATTGATCCAAGAGTAAAGTGTATGACATTGCCGTCCCCGGGGATTTCAATTCATTATCGTGTTGGTTCGTTGTGATAGACTCATTGTAGACCACTTCATCTTTGTCTTCACGCATTTCTTTAATTTTAGAGAGTAGATCTTGACTTCTGGTTGTCTAGAAACCGTTACTTGTACAGTAATCATCATATCAGAGAACTGTTATCGTTGCATGCCTGTGTCCAACCCCGTGTCTTAGAGCGAATCAGTTAATTCTCTAAGGGGCTTGAGTGAATTTATCTCCAAGTATACATGTCGCCACACCAGACCAGATAGGAATGAAGAGACTTAGCAGTGTTAACCACAAAGTAGTATCAACAACCCACCTCGTTAAAGACAAACTTTTAGAATTATCGGTATTGTTTTTAGTATCTGTTTTCGAAATATAGAGTTTTCTTTTGGTTCTGTTCAATTAAGAATTCCAGTAAGTAAATAAATACATATGTTTTACCGATGAACGAAATCTACATAGATGTATACTTTTCTATACAAATGTATCGTTCATATTCCAGAAATTTTACCTGGCGGGTGTCGCCGGTAAAGCAGAAGACGCTTACTCTCCCCGAACACCTGGTCTTTTTCCCCTTATACTTTATCATATTTCCGTGTAAACCTTTCCTTTGTCTATTTTTGTCCAAGTTTCGTCGAATTTGATTTGGATAAAGATTCTGTTGATATCTTCGTATTGTCTTTGTTGTTATCGAATATGACACTTGCGATATAGACGGTCAATAAAGTTCTTGTCTTTTTGAAGACAAGGCGTCACCAATATTTCTAAATGTAAAATAGAAGGCATAGCCAAGGTCGTTGTTACCTGATCTAATTAAAACTTTGAGGATGTCAGTCTTATTTAAAAACAAAAAACAAGACAGCCCACAAAGTGGCACAATTTGTTTGTGTAGCTTTACAATCCACTGGTTTTGCATCAAGATTTTCAATACACAAACTTCTAGATCAAATACAAGATTGGCTTTATGAACAATTACTAGGCATTACATCTGCTATGTTTACTTCATGGATTGATAAATAGAGTACACATGCTATTAAAGTTACTTCACAATATGATAAATACGATATACGTACTACTAATGTAACTTCACAACATAATAAATAGGATACACGGACTACTAACTTTACATCACAACATAATAAATAGGATACACGCACTACTAACTTTACATCACAACATGATAAATAGGATACACGTACTACTAATGTAACTTCACAACATGATAAATAGGATACACGTACTACTAACTTTACATCACAACATGATAAATAGGATACACGGACTACTAACTTTACTTCACAACATGATAAATAGGATACACGGACTACTAACTTTACTTCACAACATGATAAATAGGATACACGGACTACTAACTTTACATCCCATCATGATAAATACGATACACGGACTACTAACTTTACATCACAACATGATAAATAGGATACACGTACTACTGACTTTACTTCACAACATGATAAATAGGATACACGTACTACTGACTTTACATCACAACATGATAAATAGGATACACGTACTACTAACTCCACTTAACTTCACTTCATCTGGGTTGTCTAATTGAACTGCTAGCTTGGCTACTGCAAAAAGTAGCGGTGTTCCCTGATCTACTACTATGGCTACATTAGCATTGCTATATATTGAAGTTAGTATTCTAAAATCAATTAAATGTGCATATACTCCCAACTCAGGTTCCAATCCGTCTCCAAACCTACATCTCAACAACAGGAATAAAGAAAGTAAATGTATACTGTAGATACAGGTCAGTATTACGGTCCCTTTCAACCTTACCTCCGTCTTATTGCCCCTAGTGTCCGGTATCGTCCAGTCTCTCGTATATTAAGTAAAAGTCTCAACTAACAGGCAATAAAGCTTGAACCATCACAGACCTTTTTCTTTTGTTAATAGTTTTTTCGTCGGACATATGTTTTACACGAGCGAGAAAGCCAGACATGCTGTGTCATATTTTCTAGCTTTGCTCCAATGTGTTCTCCTATGCCTGAATTTTGTGTCTAATGTCAAGTGATACCATCCAAACGCATTCATTATTATGATGTTTGGAAACTTGTGGAACACATGCTTATTCCAGACTAATTTAGGACACTAAGCATACCCTTCATTGATATTTAGATCATTTTCAATTCGATTTTCCACCCCTTTAAAAAATCTGCCATGCGAATTCGTGAATTGGCTGTGACTTGAATGGCTTGGCTAAAGAGCTTTCTAACACCGGGTTTGACTTTAACGTGTCCGGTATTTTCTGTTTTAGTCGTTGACATGTCTAATGAATTGCATTTTGCGTACACTTTGAAAAATACTATTGTTAAATTTCTGTAGTCAACATGAATTCTGTATTTTTAAATATAAAATGAGTCTTTTTTTTATTCAGCAATATTTTCATTTTAATTTGCTTCAAAAAAGGAAATCGTGATATTTCCACAGTAACGCAATTTCTATTATCCTAATAATGGAAAAGATTGTGATAATTAGCGCAGTTATAGGATAATGAATGATGTTTCGATATTTTCAAAAAGTACATTTTCTGTCTTTCTTTCTTTCTCTTTCTTTCTTTCTCTCTTTCTTTCTTTCTTATTTTCATATTGGACTGCATTGACCTTCTGTCTACTCGAGAATGTTTTTATCGTAACATTACATGTCTAAAAAACCTTTTTGAAACTGTTGAGATCTGTAAAATTCTACATTACCTGAAAGATGCTGGTCTATATGATAGACTATGACATACCATTTTAATCTTTTGTGCTTATATACCCATTTAAATTTTTTAGCATTTGTTTTTTCCCTTTTGGTTTGTTTAATGTTATTTTCTTTTGGATCGCCGTGTGTTTTACAGTTTGATGGCCCTAATGACCTTTTATGCGTTACCGGACGGTTAAGAATGCAATATTAATAATAATAATTCTTTCTTTCATTCTTTCTTTCATTCTTCCTTTCTTTATTCGGTATTGAGTCTGTTCTTAAACGCCCTTTATGATTGATAAGTATTTTTTTTTACCAACGAAACCGGATGTCAGTCTAACGTGGGGTCAGATGATAAAATGAAATGTTAGTTTCACTGATAACGGTCAACTAGAAACGTTATATTTGACACTTAACAAACTTTTCGACACCCGAGATTGATTGGGTTTCCTGTCAAGTGTCGGCAGTAGTCGTCTGTGGGGGAAGCTTTTCCGACTCTGGGGATATGTTTGCTGCAAGGGCTTTGTCGAATCTCCTTTTCATAGGAAATGGTTATGAAACTAGATCTATTTTTGGCATCCATCACAAAATCGCGGCAAATGACGAAATTGTAACTGTGGTATCACATACACTGTTATTGGCGTCGTATTTTATATTCATTCCAAATTAATGTAATACATAGAGACAGCCTGGTATTCCGAAGGTGTGATATTCCAAATGCCCGTTAGTCCGAATACTTTTAGAAAATTAAAGAATACTGTGAATATAGGAGACAATAAACCATTTTTATCTGTTAAATGGACTTGTCATCAAATCATATGAAAAAGATATATTAAAATTCGCTTCCTTATATTGTATATATATGTGTGTATTTTTGCATCTTTCACTGTCAATGAATTTTGAATGATAGTTTTGATTTTATTTATTTATTTATTTACTCTAATTCTTAATATTTGCTGACGAACACAGAAATTTATTTCCTTCTTTTACAAAAAATGTCGGGAACTCATTTACTCCAGTTCAAACTTATACATTACTTTTGAATATAAATTGTTTGTTGTCATCCTCAGTGCAGACTTCCAACTGGTAACGACCTTCTCTTACGAAACATGCACTCTATATATATATATATATATATATATATATATATACAAGCTCTGTATAGTCAGTATTCCTCAGGGAGAAACGATACCGATTAACTCCTAATGTCTTCCCAAAGACGATCGCTCTTCCTACCTGATCTACAGTACACGGTAGTCGCGCATGCGCAAGTTAGGTAATCATCAGGATGAGTTCACTTCTATGGTAACGTTGCCATTTATCATTTTCCTAACACAATAAGCATATGAATAGTCCTCGCTCATTGACATAAGATATAATATTCCACGTTAAAATATATTGCCAAATCACCCTTGTACAGCGTCCGTGTTTTCAAAGAGGAGAGTGACATTTTTTTTCACCTCACACAGCAAAATGTACACACAACAAAATGGAAAGCGGGAAACATTATCTTTCCACCAGACTCATTATTCTCCACAAATGGTAATGTTTGCATTAATTTCTTGTGTTTTCCTAAACAAATTTGCAAGGTTTAGGTATTTTTAAAATCAAACATTGATTTTGTAACAGTTTCTCTTATCTATTCCATATTTTTCAGCCAGGGATGGGGCTTTTAAGTGCTACAGACACACAATAGATGTACGAATAATGCAGAAAATGCATGATGGTTATACCGAGCCTGTAGCGCGTAGTCGACGGGCATCGTAGTTCAAGTCTGAGAAAAAAATATAAACCGAGCTGAGACTCATTGGAATTTTAAATTTGTCTTACCTATGACTACATGTCGGTTGTAGACTTGGTTCCAAGAGAGTCATCGATTGGGTAGGTGGAAGGAAAGATTGAAATATAAATAATTTGTTATGGACTTGTGCTATTCTCATTAAGGTTTGAGATTATTTTAGTTAAAGAATCATCATCACTAGCTCCTGATTATTTTAGTATCGATTAAATTAGATTGACATTTAAATGAAAACTTTCTCTACAATATCGTAGAACTAATATACACTAATTACACATTATCTAATTACATATATTATTTTTATCACTTCCTGTCACCATGACACAGAGTCCGTGTGCACTTATTGTCAATGTGGCTGGTTCTTTCTTCCCCACAAATGATGATTTTAAGACCTAAGGCACACGATTCGACGCTCCCTGCCGTAGTAGTTTGTGTTTCTCGGGAAGCTGAAAAACGGAACCGTCGGTGATAACGTGGCTTTGTCCATGGGCAAGACACTTTGAATTAATTTAGTTGGATTACATGTGACGGGCCTTCCGTATGATGTTCAGTGAGGTCATCACATAGATATTTAGGCTAAAGATCTTTCAACAAGTGTTATGTAAACAAACAATTGTTGATTTATATATTATAACTAAACCAATAGAATGACATATACTTATCAGCTTGTTTTCTATTTTAGACAGAAGAACAGGTCTGTATTTCTAGATAATCTTAAAGTGAATATATGAGTACACGCGATCTCCTCAGTTTCCAATTATATATGTACATATATTTGCGATATACACGGTCAATTAAATGCTCGTTTCTTAAAGACAAGACATTTTTTTACTACAGCCCGATTCTAATTTTAATATTTACACTTTTTATGACACAACATTGGAAAGCTACATCAGAAATGACGATACAATGCTCTATCTCAATGCTTTACCTGTGATTAATAGTTTTAAAGAGAGAGTGACGCTGTCATCGAAATATAACATGTTTTGTATATCATCTCCTTTGCTTGCCGGGAATATTTGGCACAGATTCTGATCAAAATCATCTTCAATCGCTGCCAAACTTTACGTCATTTCCCCTTCTTCTTCTTCTTGAGAATGCTTGTTTAGATGCACATGGCATTTACTCATATTACTTGTTGCCTGTGGAGGATTTATCGAGAAATGGCTTCGTCATAATAGATGTGTACCAAACAGCATCATTCAGCTTCTTCCTGTTTTCGCCTTTCTGTGTCCTATTCTCCTACAAAACACCGATCGGTTGTGAAATTGAGACGCCGATCATGTGTTATACATTATAGGTTTGGCATGTAGGACCAAGCCTTGATGAACTAGTTAAAAATTAACACACAGACATTTAATCGTTGCAATTAAGCATTTTCTGGTGGAAATTTCAGAACAGTTGTGTGTATCTAACGCCGATGTGGTGCTGCATCAACACCGACGGCACGAGATAGACCTTATAAAAGATAAAGTAGAAACCTTAATTCATTCTTTATTGATTAACCCAGACTGCCTATCATATACCTCCATCTGGCTTCCACCGAGAGGTTAAGAGTACACATTGTAGGTGTCGTCATGTAGGAACAGTGAGATACAATGAGATCAACCAGCTGGTCAGTGTATGTCTTCTACCACTAAAACTTACATCAACAATGTCGAGTTATTGATGAAATATTTTCCATAAACAAATATTTCACAATAGCGTTAGCGCTACCATGAAAATGAATGTAACATATGAGAATTTTAAAACAGTTCTTGACATGTATTTTGACCAGTTTTAATCTGATTAATCATTTAGTTATGCTGTATTTAGTTCTAGATGTTCTAATAACTTTTATGTCTTATGTACAATGACATTGATATAGCTCTGTATAAATAGCGTTCCCCACAAAAAAGGAACACAGTCATTGCTTACCCTTTAGAGTAAATAATAGTTTTATATAATATTGAAAACCAGTACAAATGCATATTCGACATATCGAATGGAAAATAAACCAAGAGCTGATATAGTCAAACCTCGTTATCTTGAACTCATACAAGTAGAATACCCCGTTTAATTCGAAGTATTTCGTCATTCTCGGCCAAACTTTCCAACAAACATTCGATCTCTTTTAAATCAAATCCTCGGATAACTCGAAGTTTTCGAATAATCCCGCCAACTTCGAAATAACGACGTTCTACTATATTAATTCCTTTTTTTTATATTATTCTTTAGGTTATGCAGTCCATTTGATATAACCAATATCTTATTATGTATTATGATCGATTGACAAAACACCATCTTAAATGAAACCTAATAGGGAAGTATATCAGCTGTTGTTGCAAGGCTGCTCCCTTTTAAAAATAAAGATATGAAATTAAAGACTGTATTGTATATCAAATAAGTATTGTAGATATTGTGTTTTACAATCAAAAAGAATGATTTTTGACGGAAACCATGAACATTCTTTGTTTTTTATGATTTATTTTGTTTTTGTTTGTTTCTACAGTTTGTTTGTTTGTTTGTTTGTTCTATTCGCTTATTTATGTAGACGGTTATTCATTTGTGAATTTATTTATTTATTTATTTCATTTTTGAAAACAAGGAAACATGAAACGTTTCGGTGAATAGCTACCTTTACAGTTTGTAAAAATATCTTACTCTGAGAATGCTTACTGTACTTACAATTTGTAGACATAAAACGTTGGTAATTTAGTGTAATAAATAAACATATATAAACCTCCGATCTCATCTCTATACCATATCGATTGTTACCGTCTTTTATTACCACATAATGTCAGTTCCGCTTCAGTTCAGTATAACACTAATTGAGTTCACACCACTAACATTCATCTTATGACATTTTAATTGCTTAAACAGCAATAAACTGGTTGGAACGTTTAGAACATCAGTTAACACTCATATTGCTTTCCATTTTACCACATGTACTTATTTCTAAGGAAAAGGGAAGTCATTTCTTTAAATAACACTGACAAATGATGTCTGCTTCCCTTCAGTATCGAATCCCCCTTTCGATAATGCAACTGTGTCTGTCTGTATCAACATTATTCAATGTGACGCAAATAGAATATAAACAAAAAAATTATAAATTGTTGTTGTTAAAGAAATGTATAAGGTTTGCACATTGTCGGTTTTATGACAATTCGAGAATAAATACAATGTTTAAGTCTAAAATTTGTCTTACTGGGTTTTTTAAGAGTTTAATACGAAACTACGAAGAAATATCCACACAAAAAAATTGTATATATACAGTTTGTAGAAATATAACCGTCTGTGTATTCACACAGGAACCGTTATGGTTGCTCCCAGCTCCTAACTAACAAATGGCACAATGATATTACTCACGGTCAGTGGGTACGTACACACAGTTAGTTAAATCAAGAGTCAAGAGATCGCTGTCAGGTGGTTTCGCGCCAATCTGTCACGGGAGTTCAACGAGATCTCGCTGAGTCAACGTCACCTTGCGTCAGCGGTGACAACCAGGGGAGATAATTCCCCTCGGTTTTCAATACAAGTTCATGTAATGAGTAGAAAATCCCACCCTTCGTAACTGACCGATCGGAACTCCTCTACCCGATTCCAGTACCTCCTAGAGATAATGTCAGAATTGCACTCATCATATCGAATGAAAGAGAGACAAATCATTGTTTATAAAGACCACGATGTAAAACGACATCCAAAGGGAGATAAATCGCCAAATAAGGGTATTGTGATATATACATATTGAAGAAATATAGTTATGATATAAAACACTTTTTTCTTGACTTAATTGTTATTTGATATTAACCAGACGCTTTATTTATTTTTTTTCTAGGAATCCAAACATGCCACGAAGTGCTTCAGATAAGTTCTCGGACATCACGTGGCCAAAATATGACATCAACACCCAGAACTACTTACTAATAGGTGAGTGATACTTCTTTTTGTTAATGCAAGGAAGGTATTTGAAATAGACTACTAATTCTATCAAATGTTCATTTCACATTTCAACACTAACATAATCCATATTTATGACATAGTTACATCATAGTAGTTTCACGCATTATATAAAAATGTTGTTGTTACACATATACACACGTGTTAAACAATCTAGCAGAGCTTTAATTCACTGAATGATTTCTTTCTCAAGTCATAATTTCATGACGTCATATACATTATGACGTCATCGAAGAACGAATTATACTGTGGGAATAAAGTCAATATCGTATTCACGAACATTTACAAATCTATGTGATAAACAGAATATTATACTCGTTTCATTATCATTATGAAAATAACGAAACTTCTCATTATTTATGCATTTTGCAATTATCATCACCGCAGGCAGGCTCTTCAAAATTAGAAATATTTCAGACCCGTTTCATCAATCTGATCTTAATAAATAGGATAAGTTCCAATATGTATACTCTGTATTGGGTAATGAAATGTGACAGAATGGCAAGACACTCGCAGTCAGCTTTAGAAAAATGTAAACATTGTTTCCTTCCACCCCCCCTCCCCCCCCAACCTTCACCCTCCAACCCACCCCATCCCCACCCCCCATGCACTTATTTGCTGGCCACATACCTCTTTAAACTATATACACATAAATCGTTAATGTACAATCCGAAATAGCTCGATATAATTGAAATACCCGTAAATATTCTGTCAATATATAATGTGACGTGTTCGACCGATGAAAATTTCAAAGACGTGTTGTCAAATTCTCAGAACATGCAGAAAATGCATCGAGAAGGATAATGTAATTTACTGAACCAATTTAAAAAGTGACAGAATTTCGATTATACCTCAAAACACAATACCATTGCGTGCGTGCAACTAAATAATTTATATCTTCACGCCAGACAATAGATGTCAGATTACTCAACACACATGTAGGGCAGTTAATCGGATAGATCACGGAATGTTGTAAACTAACAAACATTTGTAAAACCTTGGTCTATTTCATGTCACATGTAGTTTGATTTATACCAAAACTCCTGTTTCAATCGAAAATTTAGGGATTCTTTTCTATTACATTTCTTCAAAGCCCATCTTTTTCAGTCATTAGAATAGTGACAAGATTCAAATACACTTTATGTTTTTTTAATATTATCCAATATTGAAATTAATTTCCGAAATTTATTGAATCCTGTGGCTAGTGTTCCTCCCAATTTCGTTTTCGGCGTTAAGTTTGACTAATCTAAATTTTCCGCAGGCACTCCTAGATTTCACCTATTTCGTTACTTAACAACGCTTACTTAGTCCTAGATGGACGAAACAGCTGGATAGCACAATACAATTGATTATATGGCTCAATTGTAAGATTGTACAAAACACATACTCGTGAATAGTACCTTTTGGTACAGATTTAGAATTAGATAAAGTTGTACCAAACAGTGAATTCACCTGCATCATACAATTGTTTCGTCCTTCTACGACTTGTCTGTGATGCTAAGGGTCTAAAGTTTGAAGCCAAGGTGACAGAAGAAACCCAAAAACGATCGGAAGAAAACTCAGAGTCTAGAAGGAAAGGTGCATTAGCCCCATAAATCAATAAATTTCGTAATTTTCATATTTCTGATTATTTCAGAACGATGTCAAATCCATATATTATAAGTCGTGTCATTGTTCAAGTAAATTAAAATTTTGGCATGGAGGGTACGGCAGACCTCGGGGACATAAAATCCACATACAGTCTCTAAGTCTTTATTGTGTTGAAATTTGCTTTTCTCCTGTGTATGTCTTCTCTACTGTAGTCTACCGTGTTTAGGTTTTATTTATATTTCTGGATGTTTATTTCTAGGTAAGAGACCGCAGAAAAAGCACCACTACCGCGGTAAGGAATTGGCGGCGTGGTTGGATCTTATACCAAAGATTGACACCAAGGATCCGGGCGAGAAATCTAATTCTCCTATTCATAATCTTCTCAATGCCAACAACAAGTCTACGTTTGATGATTACAGTCGACTCATCACTCAATTTCACAAACTGTTTCCACCATCGCCCCCTATACCTCCCCCTATCACACCTTGTGATGTCCAGGGGGATGGAGATGATACATTCAAGCCGGAAACGGACGGTAGCTCTAAAAACAGCGGACAACAATCGACTCAGCAGCCCAACCGTGACAATGACGTCACCGAGGATGGGGAAGATGAGACATCGACGCAGGCGCCTCCTGTCGTTGGTCCACGTCAAGATATATCATTAGTGCACACATCCGTCCCTCTAAGTATCACGGTAGCTATTGGCTGTTCGTTACTGTTTCTAAACATCCTTATTCTAGCAGGAGTTTACTATCAGAGGGAACGAATCAAGAAACTCCGAAGAAGTGATAGTTCAAACAGCGAGGAATTGCGCGTGGGACGTAAAATGGACAAAGATGGCCGTGATCAGAAGGGACCGGAAACTACGTCATTGATGACGTCAGCACATAACCAATTATCACCTGTAAAAAATGTAAATACTCACCAGGAAGTTAAAAATAACCCAATATACACTGCAATAAGTAAATCCTCGGACACAAACCCTACACAAGGAGGATATTCATACACAGCTGTTCCAACTAACACATCTTCACCTATGCATCGTACTACAAAATCTCATCACCCTCATACTAACTCCATCCCATCTTCCAATAAAACCGGAAATTCAATTAGCAATGCTACAAGCGGCCGACCACCGGATGTGTCTCCACGTGTAGACAGTATGAAAAATGCGTATCAGCACGACAAATATAACCAAATAACAGCGAAAGAACAACCCAATTCCAATAACGCGATAACAATTGTATAGCATAGCTGTGTGTTGAGTCGTTTAGTTATTGTCAGGGGGGAGAATGATTTTTTTCTGTATAAGATTGATGTAATCATTTAAATATTTTATACCGGTAATACATGTCTTTTTAAAGGATAATATCTTGTTTTCAATCCTATTCTTCATCACCGAGGTTCAACAATTTCTTTGCAAGGTATTCTTTAAAGGAAAGAATATTCTTTCACATAAATATGATATAAAAACTGCTTTCGTGAATTACTTCTCAACATCAGTAAGTATACCATTAGTCTTATTTATCCCTTGATAATGAATGGTAAACCATTATTTTTTCTTACTCCACATTGTGAAATGTAATCATACAGATTTTGTATGTAATGTATATTACTTGTATATACCGTTTGTTCGAGAATGACCGTTTACTCACCTGCATTTTGTCGATGTTTATTTTGTGATAAAAACATCTCTGGGATTAATATAGCTTAATGGAATATAGCTTGCTCTTCTCGTTTTGTTAAATCGAGTGGCTGTTACGAAAGATTTTGAACATAGATATATATACAAGTTTTCATTGACTGTAACTATTTTGGCGGCCCCTTGTTCCCTCAGTCTACAATTCTAATAATCTGTACATAATGTTTTCTCATTATCAGTATATCTATGAGATACAATTCAATGTCTGATACAGAAGCCTCATTATGATGTTTCCATACTCTTATATTATTACATCCTTAATAGCCGATTAAAATCATTTCTTAATAGTATAAATATGCCTTCAATGAAAACAGTTGATATCACTTTCGGTGATGTATATCTATTACCTAACTAGATAGCAACGTTCAGGATGGCAGACATTTATACTGTCTATCACTGAGGTGGTCCGTGGTACGCATCCGTCTTCCTAATACAATAAAACTCAGGCAATGAACGCCATGACGGAATCCAAATTTTCAAAATCGGCATCAGATGTAGAGCATAACAGGTTATGCAAAACATATGTCGCGAATCAAGTATGCGTGTGCCCAGATAAAGTGATTTTAGTAAACATACAGATTCTAAAGTCTGTTCTTTACTTAAACAGAAAGTGCGCTGCTGAACACGTACATTTTAAACGAAATGCTATACAAATAGACAGCATGATATTCTCATCAATGAAATCCTGACTTTTTCCCTTTTTTCTTCTTTTCTATCCGTCCGCTTGTGCAAATAAGAACTAAAACATGACTTTAAGTACAGTTTCACTGGAAACTAATTTCGACATTATCTATTTGTATTATTTTGTATTTCCTAATGAAACTCTTATTAACAGCAACTAGTTTTTTTTCTCGGCTTCGTCCTTCAATCAGGAAATATGCAAACCATGAACAAAAATTGCCTTTTTCAATTTTCGTTTTATAATTTCAAAAAAATACGTATGTGTTGCGGTTACGAAAAGAATGAATGCAAACAATTCTATCCTTAAAACAAACACAATAGAAATTATTTTAATGCTGTTGCCGAAACAATTGACATTTCTTGAAGATGACACCATTCACAGCATTATTTCTATAAGAATTGACAAGTATGCTTTACAAACTCAGCAGAGACCACGATTAGTAGTAACTTGGTCAGGTCAGTAATGTGACTGAGGGAGTGCTTATATGTCATCATTGTATCGTGTGTTCGTTCAATCATTCGCTACTCATTCAAACAAAAGTGTTTAAAAACACGTGTTGACTATTTCTCGCAAAATGAAATCTATAGATATGAACTTAATTTTTTTTATGGAAATTAGAAATCATCTAAGTTAACAAAAATTGTTTCATGCAATTATTTTTTTTCAAGATATATTGTTTATTTATTTATTTTTTGTTTCGTGGTCTTCCCTGTATAAAGACATTTTATCTTACTTTTTGTTTTCCCTTATATTCCTAAAGTTTGATGAGAGAGTTCAACCACGTGTCTTTAAACTAGTGTAACAATGTGCCTTGTCCGAAACCAATATGATGGTCATTGCTTTGCGTCATTTAGTGTAAGTCTGTACATAAGTTATGCCTCGACATCGGGGCTCATGCGGAGCTCTTGTCTATACTTAGGTGTCTAATTCCTACATCATTACGTGCTAGATAATTTACTTAACTTTATCTTGTATCAATGTATAAAACAAGAAAACTCGGCGAGTGCTTGGTGATTCGTTCGGATTTGTTTTTCAATAGCACTAATGTACGGAACATTCCGACAGTTGACGGAATTTACCGAGTTTTGCCGAGTTGTTTTATTGATGTATTTTGCCTCTCCCGAATATTTGCGAGTACGATGACAAGAATCAAAGCAGTGCGGAAGTAAAAGCATAAACATATATTTATACTAAAATATGATCGTATGTGAGAACAGGAGTGTTTGGTCGTTGTGATTATCATCTCTTATGCACACATTTGAGATTTGAGAGTCTCCCCCCTCCCGAAGATTTTTTACCTATATAAATGAATGTGTATATACGTGAATATATGTATGCGTTGCTGTTGTTGTTGTGACCGTTATTGTTCTTCTGTATTTTTTTCTAAATCGAATCTGTTACCAGATTAACATGAATGCAAATAACGGCGGGTGATGTCTGTAGCCCCAAACCAGCGGTCTGCAGGGTACCGCGGTCTATACATATCTTATGAGATACATATTTGACATTAATCATCTGCATGTTCTACCACTCCATATCGCATACATGTTTGCAAATTAGAAATTATAGAAAGACCTCATGCGAACATGTTGACTATTACACTGAAATGTTGTTTCATATTTCTTTAGATAATGCATAACTGTTACATTTTTTCGTGTTTATAGAAGTGTTCAGTAGAAATCTCGAACGAACTGGAATTTCTCCATATTTTCAGCATTAAGGGTGAGCATATTTAAACCTTACCGGTTGACATGGTAACTTTAAAGTACCTTCTAACTTGCCACTGGTTTCGTTCCGTTTCATTTTTGGTGAAATTATATTTATCCTTTGCAGGAAAGAAACAAGATCAAATGATGAAACCAGATAATTGTATTCATCTGTTGATTTAGCTTACATAATAGATAATCTCACACTTTGTTTCTTTACACAATACTTGAGACATGTTTCTATGTTTAGGAAGTTACAGACATTGTATGTGTTTGTTTTCAGGCACGTTTGTTATGTTCCATTCCAGATAGATGTGTACGAGGAGCGGGCTCCAACTTAAACGTTCAGTTGTCATGGTTACGTCATAGCCATGACGTAGTGATCCATTATGTGTATATATATATATATATAAACATATGTAAATAGAAATAAAACCCGATAAAACCATTCTGAGACAAAAGACAACAACAACCCCAATTTCTAGCGAGGAAATGTATGTTATAACCGTTTATGAGTGACAGAAACATTCGTTTTATCATCGATATTTGTATATCAAGGACACATATTAAAATGCATCATTTCGTATATTCATTTGGAATGAAATACAATCAAAATAATCATTTCAAACTTTCAAAAATGAGGTAAATATGAATCGCTTCTGGAAATTTGAATCATTTTCCATTTTTGAACATGTTGGAGTAAGATATATATTCAATCATGTCGTAATATCATATTTCGTTATCCTACCCGTGAACTTAAAACTTAGCATAGAAATTACTCCACTTTTTCATAGTATTAGTACCCTTAACAAGTCAAGTTATATTATCCAGGATACGACTCCAAACTCACGGGCTATTGAGCAACGTCCAAAGGATACGATTTAAGTCACGGATGTTTGCTGGTATATATCTACAATTCTTTCATTTTATTCGCATTAATTATAAGTATCCGAATCATGTTTTGTTTGTTTCTAAGGGGCAGACAACTCGTTAGATGATCTTAAGACTCTTTAGTAATCAGTAAGGGGTAGTCTTTCACTGTGTAGCCTGTACATAGAATGACGAGTGTGATATAGAACAGTTTGAACAAATGTTGTTTGGTAATAAAATGATACATGTTACAAAACTCTCTCTTATTGTCTTTACAGTGTTCAATAGTTTCTTATGTCGCCAAATTAGGCTGACCTTGTGGACGGTTGTGGTACCGACATGTTGATATTATGATAAAATAAGTCGAACTTTGTTATTTCGAAGTCGGTTGGATTAATGGAAAAGTTCCATTTATCCTAGTATTCGATTTAAGAGGGATCGAAAAGTTTGGCCGGGACAGAAGAAAAACTTTGAATTAAAGAATGTGTTCGAGTTATGCGAGTTCGAGTTAACAAGGTTCGACTATATATTGAAAAAAGTTCCGCATGACAGAAAGATGTAGATAATTCATTATGTATTCGAATCTAAATTCTGTAGACCTCTCAACAACAACGAAATAGTCATAAATAATCTGCTTTGTAATGGGTTTTTTTTTTAATCTATTTTTATACACACTGAACGTTGTTCTAAAAGAGTTAAAAACAAATCGCAGGTTTTCTAGGAAAAGTATATATACAATCTATAAAAACAATTAATGAATAATAATATATCAATAAAGAAAAGAACTCAAAATTGATTCAACACAAAGAGATAAGCTTGCAAGGCGAAAAAATTGTTCTTGGTGTTACAGTACGCATCTTCTGTCTCAATACTTGCTTTGGTGACTGAGGTCAGATAAAGTTTTGACACTATGTGTACACACAAAAACGAGAAAATACCAACATGACAACATTATCATAATCCAAACTCAAATTAAATAAAACTAGGGCAAAATAACAGCAATAGAAAGATTTCAACGGAGAATTCCTGAAAAAAGTGCAAGGAGAAACCAGTGTTCCGGAAGAGTAAGCGTCTTCTGCTCCATCGACGACATCAGACATGTAGGCACTTTTCAATCCAAAATGCCATTTCAACAGGTGCTTATATATCGAATCAACTGCGACATGAATAAATTAATGAAATCAACAAGCCTATACATCTACCTTCTCATCGCACAAGGGAGTAAATGATTTCTTAATGTTACCTTAGTGTCGATCACAAAGCCTGCTCATAAAGCCAATTACATTCGCATTGCTGTACATTTTTTGTTGTTAGTT